ATACGTGTCTGTGTATGCCATATATGTGCAGGGGCCTATGAAGGCCAGAAGAGGGTGTCAGATCCCTTGGAGTTGGAGTTACAGGCAGTTGTGAACTGCCTGACATGGATGTTGGGAACTGAACTTAGGTCCTCTGCAAGATCACTAAGCACCCTTAACCACTGAGCAATCTCTCCAGTCCCTTCAATGAAGCTTTTGACAAAGTCTATCATCATGAATTCTTATGGACAAGACCAAGACATGTGGTTTACAGTGTATCCCAAAAAAGTACTTATTCTATCAATACTAACCTAGAGGTAAGTTTTTATGGAATGACATAGTGCTCTGCAATTATCTGTCCCACTAAACATTCTTGTTAAGGTCTAAATGAATAAAATTCAAGTTTATCATAAAGTGGGGAGGGATAATTAATATGTTATACAAAAAAACCACCATTCTACAAAGCCTTAGTTTGGAAGATGAGTCAAAATTTGCAAGAAGAAACTGTCCTACTAATTAGCTGATTAATTATAAGATATAGGTGCTTTCACTGCTTATAAATAAGGAACAAACTTTAGAAAGACAATCTTTAGCTACAAAAATAGAAATAAAGTCTGCATTAAAAGAAGTAACAGTAACCTTGGGTTGGAGATAAACTCGTTATATCATAAATAAAGCTCTTTGAAGATACAGGTACCATATGTCAAAAGAGATATTGACAGATGAGGTTCCAAAGGAAAGATTCAAGGACAAAAGGGATTTGGAGCTCCTGTTGCTGAGGGAACAGTATAGGAAGCTGGGGAGATTTAGCCTTCAGAACAGTAAGTTTAATAACACCAGGCTAACAGCTCCTGGGCTTTCCTAGAGATGGGGCTCACATTCATTCAGAGCCGCCACACAGCACTGATGCTGGAACACATTGAATGGGAGCTATGAGAAAGCACATCTCCACCAACAAAACAGAATTCTCCAGAGCTGATGAACAGCACAATGGAACCCCTCACAGATGAGTGATATTCACATCAGCCTGAGCACCCAAATGTCTGGACACTGACAGAGGCACAGTGTGACAGCAGTAACCACTGGCTCCTCAGGCCCTTACCAGAATGTTCTATACCAGACCAGTTCTCATTGCAAAGTTCTGCTGGGCTCAGCTGACATTACACTCAGACCTCAGAACTCTAACACTCTATGATATAAGCCTAACATATTTCCTCTGAAGAAAGCGTCTTCCATGTACACTGTAGCTGACATGCCTCCTCGGGTTCTTTCTTGTGAGTAAACAGAGCAGAGGTCAGAATAAACCTAAAGCTGCTGCTCTAAACCCATTAGCTCTCAGAGACTTTTCTAGAACTGTCACTTTTCAGGCAGAATGGAGACTATACCATCTTCTATATATTACTGTTCAAATGAATAAAGTCTGTGAGGCCAGCTGAGGTACAGACAGGGTAGAAACACAAAAATACAGTAAGAGCAGATGAGCTGATGCCTCTAGTAAGGACCCCCTAAAGCCTGAGTCACTGCCCCACAATAGCACTGGGTACAAGGTGTAGATGGGGTATTAAGACTAAAGTTCTGCTAGGCATGATGGTGCACACCTATGATACCGGTACTGGGGAGGCTGGAGCAGGAAGATTGCACACTAGAAGGCAAGTCTGAGCTACAGAGTAAGACCCTGCCCCTTCCCCCAAATCCAAAACAAACAAAAGAACCAAGATCTCTAAGTGTGTTGATGTATATAAACATGTAGTTCCTTGTTTGGTTGTGCTGACTGGGGTCAGTCAGAAAGAGCTTTCCCACACTCTCCCATACTTTCAGAAATACCCTCCCTATCTACTAGTGAAAATAACTGATTTTTTTTTTTACCTCTTATTTGTCGAGGCTAGAACAATACAAAGAGCTGAGGAAAGGAACGACTATACCCAAGGGGTTGCGGAAATACCTCTTATTTGTCGAGGCTAGAACAAAATAAATGTAACTGTTAATGTGAGTAATTCCTGAATCCTTGGTTCAGGTCAACTTTAAGACCAAAAGGCTAGTTGAAGAAAACTAATAGACGATACTCACAAGGTCTTTTATTTCAAAATTAAAAATAAGCTGGGCCAGTAAGATAACTCAGTGAATAAAGTCACTTGTCACCAAGCCTAAGGACCTGAGCTCAATCCCTGGGACCCACGTGGTAGAAGTAAAGTACTGACTCCAACAAAGGGTCCTCTGATCTCTGCCCGTATGCTGTGATACGCACACACACACACGCACACACACACACACACACACACAGAATGATGTAATAAAATTTTTTAAATTAAAATAGGCTATCAAATGAGACAAAATAATATGCATCCATACAAATGCTTTGCTTCTAAGAAGTGACTTATGAATAAAAATTTAAATTGAGATAATTGTTCATTAACCTGGTCTTTCCTGAGACTTGGGAGAAATACTATTGCTTTCTCTGTGTACAGAATAAGGAACTCGAGGTTGGGCACATCAGACTCCAGAATAACTAGCTCTATAGCTTATGAGCCATGACTTAACAGGCCACGTGCTAGAATCAAAGTCTATCTTTTTTAATGGGAAGGGAGTTATTAAGACAGGGTCTCACTGTATTGTGCTAGATGGCCTAGAACTCACTAAGAGCAGGCTGGCCCGGAACTTACAGCAATCCTCCTGCCTCAGCCTCCCAAGGGCTGGGATTATGAGCTACGACAGCTATCATGAAAACCTATCTTCTTACAGTATAGAGCACAACTCTCTTTTCTTTGTTCATTGAAATAACTGGAACTTTGGGGGAAGATGGGTTCTGTCTTTGCTTTTTAAGGCGGAAGTCTCAATATGTAGCCCAGGCTAGCCTTGAATTTTCAATCACTTATATTATTGTTTGACTTAATATTTTTCAATATATAACTTATGAATTTTCAATTTTTTTATTTATTCATTTTTAGACAGGGACTCATGCACTGGGCATACACCTGTAATCCCAGCACTTAGAAGGTAGAGGAAGGCAGATCTCAAAGAGATCAAGGCCAGCCTGGTCTACATAGTGAGTTCCAGGCTGTGGCTACAGAGAGACCCTGTCTCAAAAAAGACCAAAAAACAACAATAATATGTCT